AACATTGGAAAAAATGAGAAAAGATATGCTCCGGCGACTCGGGATCGAACCGAGGACATCAAGATGACAATTGGAGGCTTCCTATTACAGTCTTGCGCTCTTCCAGCTGAGCTATCGCCGGTTGATGATTGTTATCTTCCTTCCTATTATAGGCAGCTAGCTGGATCTTGACGAGCTTATCTGTTGCATAATGACTAACTATATTAGTTAAGAGCATAAGGATCTTTTGCATCGGTATCCTAGCTCCTCCCCTTCCTCCTAATGAACCCAACGTTCCTCTGCTTATCGCCTTGATATTTCTACCTAGTCGAAGTGCTACCAAATTGAGAGATCTCTATATCGAAGCTTGACGTTGTGCTTGGTAGAATGCGCTATAATCGATTCTCCATGCAACATCTTGTTACGATTGCTCAATTCCACGAGCTCCAATCCAGAAGGTAGGTTAGACGACAACGGTACACCGTCTTCGTCGCGACCTCTACCTTCAATGAGATCCTTTAACAACTCCCCATCCACCAAAGTATCAAACGCGCAGTATCGGAGCTTTGGGAATATCCATGAAGTGTCTTCCGAGGAAGACCCCGGTGATGAGAGAGGTATAATTGTTCTACGGAACAATCGGGTATCTTCCCATGGCGATGGGATTTTGAGGATTTCCAAACATGGGAGTGAAACCCCGTTCCATTGAGATTCCGCTGCAGGGAACAAGCCAATACCTTTGGTCTCGAGTATTTTGACGCGCGGGAGGCATCCAACACCTATCATATGCGACATAATATTTCCTGGACGTATGAAATCCCTTTGTAAGGCTAGGGTTACTGATGGTTCAGAATCAGAACCGAACCTCAGCGATAGAGTGTCACCTTTCAAGTCGAGTTCACTGCTGGGGGATAGCCAATCTGAAGTCAGGATAGTTGACAATAGACTTTGAGATTCCGAAACCTTTGGGAAGATGACAGGATTCGGGTCTTGGAGAATCCAAGCGGACGCTGTGATGGGACGAGACGCGTCAGCCACCACATGAATGGATGACATCAATGCTAGAATAGCTTTCCAAGGTAGGAAGTGAAATTCTATGGACCTCAAGTGAGGCATTGAGACTTGAAATGCATCCGCGATTTGAAACGTGGGAGCTGAATAGGAGGACACCCCAAGAATTGATATTTCTTCGAGGTTTGGAGAGGATAATAGGAGATCGTGGTAGTCTTTGATATTGAAGGGCGCTCCATGGTTGTAAGGAGAGAACCTAAGAGTTCTCATGTTCGAGTAAAGACCGTGTTCCATAAAGTGAGCGCCACGCATTTGAAGTTTTTGATAGAGGGAGCAGAAATTTTGAAAAAGATATTGAGTGCTTCTGGACTCGCGCGACTGCGTTTCGACAAGATGACCAAGTCTTCTAGAATTGGAACATCTTGGTGGACCAGGTACCGGAAAATCAGCTCTTCTGTGTGGTAGGATGATATATGAAGCGACTTGCATCGCGACATATGAGGTTGCACGAGGTTCAGGAAACGTTGGCTTCCCAATTTACTCCAATCATCTCCGTAACATCCTATATGAAGAGGCGCGTGTTTTGACATTTTCAGCATTATTTTGACCACTTTTAGCCCCATGGAATTCATGACATGGTTCCACAACGTAGGAGTTGAAACGCATATCGAGTGCCATCGACGGCATACGAGGGAAATCGTCTTGTTGACGTCAAACATGGTTGAAGGAGTCAATGGATCATGGACAAATCCGAAGATGCCTCCGAGTACCTCGGGCGGAAGTTGATAGATGGGACCTAGCATGAAGAGCTTGCATTGGAGAACCGAAATACGACTTTCCACATGATCTTGGAAAGAGGTGAGCGCCCTTCTCATTGTATTGATGTCGTGGTCCAACTGAGCTCTGGATCAAGGTTAATGATGAGGTAAACAAAGGGGCGAAGGAATAGCTCCTACCTTGGGTCGTCGAAGACGACGGGATCACCTGGAGGCATCCATATATCCTCCAAAAGTAGTGAAAGAGCTTTATTAGAAGCATCAGAGGGTACATACGCCATGGGGTTCTTGGTCTAGGCTGAGATGTGATTGGATAGTTGATCGTCGTGATGTTGAACATGGGGCTGATCGCTGACTCAGCAAAGCACGTGCCGACGCCTGTTTGACCTGCAATATACTACCTGCGGATACTACAATTGTAATCTCTTTCCCTGGAGTATCTTATTTGAATCCTGATCACAAAGATGAAGCAAATCGAATTTCTTCTGCATACCAACAAGATTACATAAAACGGGTGCTACAATCTGATAGAGACAACGTACATGAGGCATGGAAAACGCTAATGTCCAGAATATTATGGCAAGAAGAAAAAACAGGATTCACAAGAAGAAAAATGATTTCGTGTTCCAAGACACCTGACTACATAGCGATCACCAACTGTTCCAACCCGGTTGTATTGTCCTTGCTTGCTCGGCGGGGCATCTTCTATTTGAATGTGATCACCAGGCTCGTAACTCGCGATACTTAACTTTAACGCCGTATCTAGCACCCTGATGTAGCAATTCCATCCGCAGATGGCCATGCAGTTCGGCATTGTCTAAGCTCATTTCCGCCAGTTTTAGTGGACAACGGACACCTGATGAAAGAGACTTCGTGTCGACATCTTGTCCTCGTGCCTTGATCAGTACTGAGATGAGTTCTGGCTCGATATCGCAATCAAGGGCAATGTGCTGGAGTTGAGGATAAGGATGGCCGATATGGAGAGAGCCGGGTAAAGGGAGCCCATATATCAACTGGGACTTGCTGACATCCCCGCGAAGACGACACCGTAAGAGTTTAATTCCCGGTACTTAATGAAGATGATTCACATGGGAGATCTCCGCGACGGAA